ATCTATGTCCTCCGTTTGGCTTGGGGATCTGTAGTAAACTCCCACAATGAGGTCACTGTTATTCTTCTCTCCCTTAATTTTGACCCAAATGCTCTCACTTTGGTTTTGAGGTTCTAAATCTTGGATCTCTTCACAGGTATACACATCCCTGACATATAACGCCACTCCTCCTCCTTTCTTGTCTGGTCTGTTTCTCTGAAATAGATTGTATCCCCCCATTATTACATTCCAATCGTGGGACTTATCCCACCAGGTTTCAGTGATGCCTATTATGTCATATTTAGTTTGCTGTACCAAGAGCTCAAGCTCATCTTGTTTATTTCCCATGCTTTGCGCATTAGTGTACAGACATTGAAGGCCATTAATCATTCTCCCGTGACTCTTATTTAAGGATTTTTTCCTCCCACCACTAGGTCTGTGTGCTGTTTGCTCCATTTGGTCTATGACATTTGGATGATCATCTTCATCAATTGATAGACTCCTACCTTCAGGAGCACTGTCTCCCTCCCCCACATTAGTCAGTTTAAAGCCCTCCTGATGAGGTTTCTGAGATTTTTGGCAAAAACATTTCTCCCAACCGTTGTGAGGTGCAGCCCATCGCTTGCCAGAAGTCCATCTTCAAGAAACTGCAGTCCATGATCTAAGAATCCAAACCGTTCCTGTTTACACCATTTGCGAAGCCAGCTGTTCACTTCCACTATTTTCCCATCTCTCCCTGGACCACGTCGTTCAACTGGGAGGACAGATGAGATCACAATTTGTGCATTTAATTGCTTCAATTTCCTGCCCAGAGCCTCGTAGTCTCTTTTGATCTTCTGGAGGCTATTGCTTGCAGTGTCATTGGTTCCCACATGAACCAAGAGGAAGGGGTATTTGTCAGTGGGTTTTATGATTCCTTGCAGTCGTTCAGTTACATCTTGGATCTTTACGTTCCTTCTATATACAGTGGTACCTTGGTTCTTGAACTTAATCTGTTTTGAGAGTCCGTTCGACTCTCGAAACCGTTTGAAAACCAAGGCGCGGTTTCCGATTGGTTGCAGGAGCACTCAAGCGGAAGCCTTGTTAGACGTTCGGCTTCCAAAAACTGTTCACAAACTGGAACACTTACTTCTGGGTTTGCAGCGTTTGGGAGCCAATTTGTTCGGCAACTAAGCCGTTCGGAAACCAAGGTACCAGTGTATAAATTGAATCTGAAGTCTAGCTGGAGGAAGGGACATAGCTCAGGGGTACAGCACCTGATTTGCATGCAGAAGATCCCATGTTCAATACCCAGCATCCCCAGGTATGACTGACGATGTCCCCTCACCTGAAACCATGCAGAGCTGTGTCCAGTCCACATAGACAGATGGACCATCAAGAATGGGAGCATCTGGATTTCTGCTCGTGTGTCTGTGTGCGTAGAGGCATTTTGGGAAACTTGAGAATTTGGGTTCTAAAAGTACGCCGTCAGGATGTGGGCACATATCTGTGTTTGGATAATGCTGAGTGGGAATAGATGAGAAATTTGTAGCATGGCCGATCTTACGGAAGGCGTCATGTAAATTTACAGTGCTATAGAAATGTTTTATGGTAATAATAACCCTGTCTCGATTGAAAGTAGCATGGGGTTTGTTTGAGAATGGATTTTTATTTTGTAATGCTCGTGCCTATTAAGGAAGAGGCTTGAAGGACAGCTGAGCAAATATTGTAATTACGAAGGAAGAATTGATCTAATGAATTTTGTCTCTTTGTTTCCCCTTGCCGAACAGAAACGAGCGGGCTGTGATTTGTCTGGCATTCAGCACCTTTCCTCCAAGTTACCAGTGGGTGGGGGGAGAGGGAACCCCTGAACTTAAACACTGGGAAAGGGTGATATACACAGCTGGGGAAGATGACCAGATCTCATTTCCTGCTGAGTTTGGATTTGATATCCCGCTTTATCACTACCTGAAGGAGTCTCTAAGTGGCTAACATTCTCCTTTCCCTTCCTCCCCCACAACAAACACTCTGTGAGGTGAGTGAGGCCGAGAGACTTCAGAGAAGTGTGACTGGCCCAAGGTCACCCAGCAGCTGCATGTGGAGGAGCGGAGACGCGAACCCGGTTCCCCAGATTACGAGTCCACCGCTTTTAACCACTACACCACACTGGCTCCCCTGCAAGGATGGCCAGCCTTTGGCTCTCCAGATGTGGCCAGACTACAGCTGCCATCATCACGGACTATTGGCCTTGCTGATGGGAGTTGGAAATCAACACTTCTGGAGGGAGGCAGTTTAGCTGCCTCTCCTCTACTGTAACAGCAGCTGCAGTGGACTGAGGCCATGTTCATGTCATAAATTAAAAACACTATGATACCACTGGTTGTCTTTGTCCATGGAGTTTTCATGGCAGGGATACTGGAGTGGCTTGCTGGTTCCTGCTCCAGGTGATGTATGGAAGTGAGAGCTGGACCATAAAGAAGGCTGATCGCCGAAGAATTGATGCTTTTGAATTATGGTACTGGAGGAGACTCTTGAGAGTCCCATGGACTGCAAGAAGATCAAACCTCTCCATTCTGAAGGAAATCAGCCCTGAGTGCTCACTGGAAGGACAGATCCTGAAGCTGAGGCTCCAATACTTTCCTCATGAGAAGAGAAGACTCCCTGGAAAACCCTGATGTTGGGAAAGATGGAGGGCACAAGGAGAGGGGGACAACAGAGGATGAGATGGTTGGACAGTGTTCTCAAAGCTACCAACATGAGTTTGACCAAGCTTCGGGAGGCAGTGGAAGACAGGAGTGCCTGGTGTGCTCTGATCCATGGGGTCACGAAGAGTCGGACTCGATTAAATGAATAAACAACAACATGATACCACTTTTAACAGTCATGGCTTCCCTCTAAGAATTCTGGGAGCTGTGGCTGGTTAAGGATGCTGAGCGGGCAAAGTGGTGCCGGGGGGGGGAACCACTGTCCTCCTAATATCCTCCTCTTCTTTGAGGTGAGCATTACAAGCCCCTAAAGGGTGAAAGAGAGAACCAGTGAACTCTGCCAACATCTCTAGACACTACCAAAAAATACCTTCAGTTTAGGCGCAATGGAAAGTGGCAGTAAGAAATTCTCAGCCAAGAAATGAAAACCTCGCCTTCCTTGTCTCTGTTCGGCAAAAAACCTTCAACGTCTGATCATTAATGGAAAGTTGTTGTTTTTTTTAATAAGGATGCAGTAAACCATGAAACATCTGCGTGAGTTTGTGCACGGAGAAGCCTGTCACAATAAAGCAAAGTAAAAAATGTTGGGGTTCCTCAAATTGCAAGCCACCAAAGACCGATCTCCTGTTCTCCACCTGCACACGCTGTTCATTAACGTTTGGCCAGCATGGAAATCAGTGTCTCCAAACAAGGCAGCATAAGAGTACATCAGAGCATGGCAAAGTAATTATGAGTTTATGACATCATCTTAATATTACAAAGGAGAGAGTGGGAAGCCCAGGAGAAACTCTCGATTTCCCTTCTGGGAAGGCATTAATGGAGCCTTACAATCTGTTTCCTTTTGTTTGGATGTTACAACCAATAATGCAGTTTTATGTCGATAAATAAAGACTAAAGTTGAATAAATCCGGCGAGCTCCCGAGCCTGTGCTTTCCCATCTTGATTCACATCCCCGGCTTAAGATTTATGAGTCGTTCGCAGAGAATAAGTTGAAGCCGCAAGTTTGCAGGGCTGAAATTATTCAAAATGGTGATTAGTTTGGGAAGCAATTATGTACGTGCACCTGATCAGAGTGTCACCTGTGCCGTCGGGATGAACGGGATGAAACATTGGCGATTTTCCTGCAGTCTTCTTCGCTTCCCCACAAAAGAAAAGAAATTCGAGTAGCAAAATGAAAGCCTCGGATGTGTGTTTCCATTTCCTCCATAGTTACTGAGACCTTGGGTGGTGCAGGTAATTCCTCTTAATTTTTAATTCCCTATTTCACACACTCCTCGGTTTTATTTAGGACAAGCAGCTTTGTTCTCTTTCTACCCCCTTTTTTTTTTTTTTTTTTTAAAAAAAAGGAAATTTCATTCCATGCTATGGACTGTATATTCATTGATTCTGTGGAAATGTCTTGGATATTTATTTATTTTTATATTCAACAGCATTAAACATTACAAGTAAAACAAATGAAATCTTGGCAGGTTTATAACTCAGTTGGCCTAGCCCTTAGAGACATCATCTGATTGGCTGAAATCTGGTTATGGGATGTAATCCCATTCAGTGCAGGATTCCTGATTGACTGCGCTCACATATGCAATTAGTCCAGGATACAGTGGCTCCCATATTCTGCACCACCTGAAGTTCCCAAACCGTCTCTAGAGGCAGCCCTACGTATAACGTGTTGCAGTAATCTAACCTTGAGGTTACCAGAGCATAGACAGCGGTAGTTAGGCTATCCCTGTCCAGATAGGGGCATCGCTGGGCCATAACATTTTCTTCATGCCATGCACAGCATTAAAATACTTCTGTCGTGTTCATCATTACATTTTTTCTCAACAAAGGCCACATTCTCACCATACATATAAAGCACTATGACACCACTTTAAATAGTCGGTGTTTCCCCGAAAGAATCCTGAGAGTTGCAGTCTGTTAAGGGCTGCCGACAAAGGTCCGTATAGTTAAAGTTATGGTTTCCCCAGTAGTGATGTATGGAAGTGAGAGCTGGACCATAAAGAAGGCTGATCGCCGAAGAATTGATGCTTTTGAATTATGGTGCTGGAGGAGACTCTTGAGAGTCCCATGGACTGCAAGAAGATCAAACCGATCCATTCTGAAGGAAATCACCCCTGAGTGCTCACTGGAAGGACAAATCCTGAAGCTGAGGCTCCAATACTTTGGCCACCTCATGAGAAGAGAAGACTTCCTGGAAAAGACCCTGATGTTGGGAAAGATGGAGGGCACAAGGAGAAGGAGACGACAGAAGATGAGATGGTTGGACAGTGGCCTGGCATGCTCTGGTCCATGGGGTACAAAGAGTCGGACACAACTAAAGGGCTCTGAAGGTTGTCAGGAGACCCCAGTTCCCCACACAGAGGTACAGTTCCCCAGTTTCCTGGAAAGAAGGACCGGCTATTAAACCACTCTGAGAATGGTACCTCTGCGAGGGGAATTGGGGTCTCCTAGCAACTCTCATTGGGATGTGGGTGGCGCTGTGGGTTAAACCACTGAGCCTAGGGCTTGCCGATCAGAAGGTCAGCGGTTCGAATCCCCACGACGTGGTGAGCTCCCATTGCTCAGTCCCTGCTCCTGCCAACTTAGCAATTCGAAAGCACGTCAAATTGCAAGTAGATAAATAGGTACCGCTCTGGCAGGAAAGTAAATGGCGTTTCCATGCGGTGCTCTGGTTCACCAGATGTGGCTTAGTCATGCTGGTCACATGACTTGGAAGCTGTACACCGGCTCCCTCGGCCAATAAAGTGAGATGAGCGCAGCAAACCCTGGAGTCGACCACGACTGGACCTAATGGTCAGGGGTCCCTTTACCTTTTACTAGCAACTCTCAGTACCCTTCACATACTACATCTCCCAGAATTCTTTGGGGGAAGCCATGACTATTTAAAGTGGTATCATAGTGCTTGAAACAAGAAGGTGTGAATGTTTCTTCAAATGGCCGCCAGCTGTTGCTGTGACTTCTGTCCATGTTTCCCAGAATCATGGACCCTGAGAAGATATCGTGTCATTGTTCTTTAAATTCATGGTGAGAATGTGGCCTCAGGAGGCCTCAAAGTTGCAGCCACATTGATAGCATTATTGAGAGAGGGCTCGTCATGGAGCCTGGGAATGCAAAAGCTTGTCCCAAACCATCCATGGCCTAAGCGAGGCAGGTCTAGTTTTAGAAGCTAAGAAAAGCAAATTCATAATTTTGGTACTGCCCGGGCTTTGAAAACCACAGCTTCTGCCCCGTTATTCACAGCAGTACCACATGCAGGTGATTTTATTGCATCGTTGTAGCTTAATCACGATAGCCCAGTTTTTCGATGCAAAGCCCTCTCCATGGGTTAAGATCTATGGAGCCATATGCCACAGGAACAAGCCAAGCAATTTTAAAAGGGGGAGGGGGCATGGCAGGGAAGGGGGGGAATGAAATAATCATTTCTAGTAAGTTCTGACTCTGATTAAAAAACAATCTTTATGAAATAGAAGCTAATAAAATTGCTTTCCTAATTACCCTGAGCTAGTTCATTTCCCAGCAAATATAATAAAACAGACTTACTTGGCTCCAATTCACAAAATCTGAAACCAAGCTCATTATTAAGGCATTTAGTGGTGGAAAAAAACGGGGAGGGGAGGGAGAGAGAGAGAGGAGAAACTGTATGTGTGTGTGTACGTTGCCATCCCACAAAGCAGAATGCAAGACATCTTTTGAAGTTAGACCTTTGAAGTTTGGAGTTATTGCTGCGGTCTCTTTTTTTTTTTTTTAATAATATAAAAAACCCAGGTAGTTTAGTGTTTGGGTTTAACTTCTTCTTTTTTAAAAAAAGAAAAAAGAAAAGACTCTATTCTCTTTGTCAGACAAATAGAACAGGACACCTATTATGCTATTGCTATAATATTCAGGGGAGATTTGGGGTTTAACGGAACAGAGGCTTAATTTGAAAGAAATATTTAGACCTAATACATTGTGGTTCCTAATCTTTGGGACCATTACAAAGCTGTGATACATGTACATAATAGAGCAGACCATCCACTCTCCCAAGGCTATCATCCCAAAGCCTTGTACCACTCTGAACTCTCTTTCGTGTGAGAAACCTGGGATTCTGGTTATTATAAATGTATGAAGTTGCTTTGGTTTGGGGGGTTTCTGAGAATGTTTTATTTATTTTTGTTAATGCTTTAGCTTCTCTCTCTCTTTTACACACACACACGCACCTTTTCTTTATTTGCTCTTTTACAGGGTTTAAGGATGGTGAACCAAACGTTTTATAAGATTGCATGATGCAGAAGAATTGCTCAAAACATAAAAAAGGACGTGCTTAAGTTTGTGGTTGATTTCACCTAGGAAATGACAGTGCAGAGTAAGTCTCAGATAGATAGATAGATAGATAGATAGATGACATATATGATAGATAGATAGATGATAGATAGATGATAGATAGATAGATAGATAGATAGATAGATAGATAGATAGATGATAGATAGATATAGATAGATTTCTCAGATATAGAAATGGTCCTCTCCTGAACGCCATAACTAATTATTATTATTATTATTACTATTATTATTATTATTATTATTATTATTACCCCGCCCATCTGGCTGAGTTTCCCCAGCCACTCTGGGCGGCTCCCAATCAAATGTTAAAAACAATACAGCATTAAATATTAAAAACGTCCCTAAACAGGGCTGCCTTCAGATGTCTTTTAAAAATAGGATAGCTGCTTATTTCCTTGACATCTGATGGGAGTGTGTTCCACAGGGTGGGAGCCACTACTGAGAAGGCCCCATGCCTGGTTGCCTGTAACCTCACTTCTCGCAATGAGGGAACCACCAGAAGGCCCTCGCCGCTGGATCTCAGTGTCCAGGCTGAACGGTGGGGGTGGAGACGCCCCTTCAGGTATACAGGACCAAGACCATTTAGGGCTTTCAAGGTCAGCACCACTGAAATTGAAAATTTGAGCTTTGCCAATATCTAATGTTGGGTCTATCCTTAACTTTTTGGGGAGTGAGGAGGTCCCAGGATTAGTGAGGTGGCCTCTTCGGGTGGACTCAACTCAAGACCATGGATGGTCATAGGTGTGCTCTTGTCTTGAGTGCAAGGCCAAATGGGGATGTTTTCCAAAATGCCCCACTATCATCTCCTCTGCTACGGATGTGACACACCCCTGGCACGCCTCCTCCATGGGCAAATCCCACCTGTCAAGGACCATGCTGAGGATGGCTGCACTGAGGAGAAATGGTGGGAGCAAACCCCCTTCCCCTGATCCTGAATCTCCCCAGGAGCAGGAGGACAGTGATGCAATGGCTGGGAAGACTAAGACAGTGAGCATTTTTCGGTTATCAACCGAGACCCTATTTCATTCACCGCCACCAGGAGATGTTCAAACAGTGAATATTCAGAGCAGGGTCCTTCTCTGTGGTAGCGCACATGATCTGAGGCTCTCTAACCCCCCCAAACCTAGCTGGTCCCAAGCTTTTCCCACAAGAAGGAGTAATGATGAATGCTAACTTCGTTGGCTTTAGAAGAGGATTAGACATGGAGAATAACACTATCAAAGGCTCCAGCCATGGTGGCCATGTCCTGCCCCCCACTGTTGGAGACATTATGCTTCTGAATACTAGTTTCTGGGAATTCCAAGCAGGGAGAGAGCACTGTGGAACTCAGGACCTGTCCGCAGTCTTCCCAAAACACATCTAGCTGGCCACTGTGAAGACAGGATGGTGGACTAGGTAGGACTTCTAGATGATCCAGCAGACTTCTTATCTTCCTATTGTGCTTCACCAACTCATCAAACCCAGCAGGGGACAAGTTGTCAATTTTAGCTCCTTTCATTTCCTCATTTTTCCAACCTTAAGTTTGGTTCACCAAATTTCCACATCAGTCTGTGATTTATTTATTTTTAAAGTCCTCATGGAAATCATCAAATGCAGATTTCTCCTAATGTACAGTTATTGTACCCAATTTGGCCTAATAATCACAGTTTGCGAGCTATTTCCCTCGGTGTGCATCATTATATGTTACGATCCCCTATATACATTTTCAATCACACCTTCCTCTCATATACATGTTTTTTACTGGAGATTTGCATCACAAAATTCAGAGCAGTATGAATCGCAAAGAATAGCATGTTATGGGAAGTGTGGATTATGTGTGAAACAAACCAAATCTCTACCCATCCCTAACCCAAAAGTATCTTATTCACTGTGCTTATGGTTCAAAGATCTGTTGGGTTCCTGCTCTCTGAAACCATTACTGCTGCTATGCTGACTGGATATTATTACATATTTACACTCCACCTTTTTGTCTGAAGGGGCTCAAGGTGGCTTACAGATAAAAACAAGAATCACTAAAAACATAAAAAACCATCATGGGATAAGGAAGTCTTCACCCATCAGCAGAAGTGTGGGAATGCTGTGGATAGTAGGAGAGGATATATTGATTAAATATTATCCTTTCTCACTCACGCTAGTGAGCTGGTAGCAGAGTACATTCCCCTGTATATTGCAGGAAGCTGGTTGGTAGATTCGTTTGAATCTCTTGAGTTAAACAATCTAGTCTGGCTTGTCCAGATTGGATTGTTCAGATAAATTCCTCTTTATTCCCTCTTAAAACTAGTGCTTTTTTCTATTAAAAAAATGTTTAGGGATACTCTCATTTTCCTACTGATATTGAAATACTGCCCCACAATGAGGTCAAACTTAGATTCACTAAATGTTTTGGGGCAGTGCTTTTTTCCTTAAAAAAAAAAAAGTTTAGGGGTACTTTCATTTTCCTACTCATATTGAAATACTGCCCCTCAATGAGGCCAAACTTAGATTTGCAAAATGTTTAGGGGGTATACATACCCCTGCGCACCCCCCCCCCAAAAAAGCACTGCTTAAAACAATAAAGACACAACAGTCTTCTTTAAAAGTAATGATAAGAACTTTATTTACATTCAGTTCACAGTATGATCCTGGAGGCAGGCTTTAGCTTGTAGTTACATAAGAAAGTGTGGCTTGCATCCTTTGTAGGATTGAGCCCGTGTGCTGCTGGCTGAGAGCCAGCAGACAGCAAAATAACATCAGGAAGATGGAGAGTCAAGAAGAAGGGGAAGATGGCTGCGTGACTAGCTCTTTTGTAGGGTCTGCCAGGGTCATGCCCATCTACCTTGTCACATGCAGGGGGAGGATGCTCCAGACAGGTGTGACAGGAAGTCCTGCTGGCTGGAGTAACATCCGTCTGTGTGTCCACTCTGGGAAAACAGGAAATGTTGCATTTGACTGCTACATGTTACATCCCACAAGAAGGACAGCAAGGAGGGAGCCAGTCTAATTTCTTTAGGGAGGGAGTTCAAAAAACATGGTTTTCTTTTGTATTGTTTTTAATTATATTTCTTAATAATTAAAAATAAATAAATCAGGGCCAGTGGTCCATCTACCTCAGTACAGTGGTACCTCAGGTTAAGTACTTAATTCGTTCCGGAGGTCCGTTCTTAACCTGAAACTGTTCTTAACCTGAAGCACCACTTTAGCTAATGGGGCCTCCTGCTGCCACTGCGCCGTCGGAGCACAATTTCTGTTCTCATCCTGAAGCAAAGTTCTTAACCTGAGGTACTATTTCTGGGTTAGCGGAGTCTGTAACCTGAAACGTATGTAACCTGAGGTACCACTGTATTGACAACACTGACTGACAGTGGCTGTCTGGGATTTCATACATGGGTCTCTACCAGCCCTACCTAGAGATGGCAAGGTTTGAACCTAAGGCCTTCTACATGCTAAGCAGATGCTCTACCAATGAGCTGCAGCCCTTATTTGCTTTCATGATTTGATGGCCGCCTCTGAAGTCTTGGGTGGGTGTCTACGTTTGAGAAACTCATCAGAATCCTAAAAGGGGCCACTAAGCATGAGTTTCTTTCCTTCCCAACAACCTCGGTTTTGAGGTGGTTCCCTTCATCTTTACTCAGCGTTACCATAATGCACTTTTTATGGTTTAATTCCCCCCCCCAAAAAAAAATGCGGTTCTGTTTTTCAAAATTGTTCTTCTCAATTGAAATCAGGTTGCCTCTGAAGGAGCCGGACCCATTTCCTTCAGGAGCCTGAAAACAATATAATTGTTCCACTGAGACGAACAACTTAGAGCTGATCTCTAACTGGCTTCATTATTATCAGATAATGGAGGCATACAATTTGGACAAGAAAATTGGCTTCCAGGTGGAAAAATCAAAATTAGAAACAGAACTGTTAGAACCTAAAACTAAGATTTTGTCAAAGATGTATAACTTGCTGTTGAAATGGAATACTCAGGATGAAACGGTGAAATCTGTTATGATTAAATGGGCACAAGATGTTGGACATAACATAATGATGGCTGACTGGGAACAGTTATGGACCACAGGTATGAAGTTTACAGCATGTAATGCCTTAAGAGAGAATATTATGAAAATGATATACAGGTGGTACATGACACCAGTCAAGCTTGCAAAAATCTATCATTTGCCCGATAATAAATGTTGGAAATGTAAAGAAACCGAAGGTACATTCTTTCACCTTTGGTGGACGTGCCCAAGGATTAAGGCTTTCTGGGAGATGATTTATAATGAAATGAAAAGGGTATTTAAATATACCTTTCTGAAGAAACCAGAGGCCTTTCTCCTGGGCATGGTTGGCCAATTGGTGCCAAAGAAGGACAGAACTTTCTTTATGTATGCCACAACAGCAGCAAGAATACTTATTGCAAAGTATTGGAAGACACAAGATTTACCCACTCTGGAAGAATGGCAGATGAAGGTGATGGACTATATGGAACTGGCGGAAATGACTGGCAGAATCCGAGACCAGGGAGAAGAGTCGGTGGAAGAAGATTGGAAGAAATTTAAAGACTATTTACAGAAATACTGCAAAATTAATGAATGTTAGAATGAAGTCAGAATGAAGTTAAGTGGTTTTAGCAGCAATGTTATAAAGGTGTATGTAAAAATGGATTGTTAACAGGTGAAAATCCAAAGTTATAATATATTAAGTTAAATGATTAAGACAAAAACAAAGAGGGAAAGGAATTGCTGAATTAACTAATAGAACTGGAATACAAAAAAGGGCGGTGTGAGGAGGTCAGGGAAGCAAGGAAATGAAATGTAAGGCATGGAAAGATTGATGTGTTTTTTAAGTGTTTTTTATCTTTTTTCTGTATTTTGTATTTTTTTCTTTTTTTTCTTTCTTTTTTTCTTCTCTTTTTATTTATGTAATCTTTTCTTTGAAACTTTAATAAATATCTTTTTTTAAAAAAAATAGAGCTGATCTCTATCCCACTCCCGTCTCTTGCCTACCTGTCAAATGCTTGTTTTATAAAATAAGGTTATTTTATTGGGGGATGGAGAAAGATGGCGACCAAAACTTATTTTCAAGACATAAACTCTTTCTTAGTTTCTTTCTTTCTTTCTTTCTTTCTTTCTTTCTTTCTTTCTTTCTTTCTTTCTCTCTTTCTTCTTATTGTCATCATCAGCTGGAGATCTTTTAGCCACTTTCCATCCATATTTACTGGGCTAGATATTCCAGTATGACCAGTAGGCAAGTGCCTTGGACCACTAAATCTTGAAGCGGAGATTCTATGTGCAAAATCTGAGCTGGAACCATCATGTGGAGTCTCTGTTTGGGGGGCCTGTTCACACTCACCTCTCATCACAAAGGATTGGATTAAACGGCCACAACTTTTCACTGATTACAATAATCCCAAAGTTTGCCATGGCGTAAAGGAAGATCCCATATGAGACTCCCTTCCTGTTGAGGTCAGACAGGTCTCCTCCCCAACTTCCAGTTCCTTTTTTATTCCAACAGGCATTTAAATTGATGTCTGATTTTATAGTTTCAGCTGATTTTCTCTCTCTTATTGCATCTTTGTAAACCGCTTGAGGACTGTTGTAGTTAAGCAGTATAGAAATTGTTCGAATCAGCAGTTCCCAAACATTTTTGGCCCACCTTTGTTATACTCTTTTTAACATGTGTGAAAAGCTTTGGGGGGGGGGCAAGCCTACCCAAATATGTATTTTATTCTGTACCTTTGAGGTTTTTTATTTTAAAAAAATCTGGTGGTTTTTATTTATATTTTGGTCATTTCATTATATTTACTGCTTTTGACATCTGTTTTTATTGCTATCTTTTAATGAATATTTCACAACATTTTATGTAAACTGCAGATAGATGATAGATAGAAGAAGAAGAAGAAGAGTTTGGATTTGATATCCCGCCTTCACTCCCTTTGATAGATAGATATAGATAGATAGATAGATGATAGATAGATAGATAGATAGATAGATAGATAGATAGATGATAGATAGATAGTTAGATAGATAGATGATAGATAGATAGATGATAGATAGATGATAGATAGTTGATAGATGATAGATAGATAGATGATAGATAGATAGATAGATAGATAGATGATAGATGATAGATGATAGATGATAGATGATAGATAGATAGATCTTGTGGTTTTCTTTATTTTTTAAATAAAAATATTCAGATGACTTCCAGGTTAGTCAAAGAGTTTTAAATTCAACCAATCTCACTTTTATATATTAAAAAGTCTCATTTTAAAAATTGTCACTGACGAAGATTATTTCTATGAGTGGGTGAGGAGGGAATGATCAGATTTGCAGAAATAATACTTTAGTGCATGGTTGAAATGCCAAGGCCTGGCTTTCAAATACAGCAATGTTTTCATAATCTTAGTATAGCATTTCAGCGTATCATTAATTAGTCTGCTGGCCCATTTTTTTTCCCCTCTAAAAAGGAAAAAAGAAAGGAAAAAGGAAACACAGTAATCACTCAAGGTCACAGTTTGACTTATTTGCCATTGACGGATAACTTGCCAAACTTGGCACTCAGCTCTTTGGTACAATGGAAAATACATAGCCGTCCGGGTTAACAAAAGCCTCGCAACAATGGCCCTGCAAATGAACATCGGCTGACTAAAATCCTAACCACATTTTCACTCTCATTAACCACAGTAGGGTATCACACAATTCCGCCCGGCTCCTGCGTCGACCACTGTGCTCCATTTTACTACCAGCGGTTTGATGGGTTTTATGGCAGCTGATATATGAAGTGGGAGTTTGGGGAGTCGTAAACAGAAGCCACAGTGTATCACAATGTGGTTTAGGGATATAATGACTGTGTTGTAAAGCAGGGGAAGACAATGCAGCAGCCGAGGCGAGGTAGCGAACCGGCAGACCAAACAGCCCGGCGTCGACTCGAGCGACAAAAGCGGGGGATCTTCCGCTGCCCGCGTCTGTTTCTCCGCATTGGCCTTCGCCACCCTGGCAGCTGATGGAGGGCATCGTTCAAAAACATTGGGGGAGGCACCTGGTTGGCCAACTCCATCCTCTGCTGCAATGATTTCCATACTGCTTAGCTAACGGCATCTTTCCTAACAGACACAAGGCAAAGTTGCAGAAGGATATACCATTGATAAAACCGGTTCTGACAAATTATGGAAACAGAAAGAACTTACTCAGAATGTCTGCTGATTTTTAAATCTACGTCAAGTTCAACAGGGAAGGAACCTGTCTGATCTTAGCTGGGATGGAGTTCCACAGGACAGGACATACAGGACCATGAATCTGAACCATGAGGGGTCACTAACAGAGAATCCCCCCCCCCCAAAAAAAAAATCAGTGATCAGGAAGGGATGGAAAGATTCACATGGTTCTTCAGGTATCATGGACCCAATATTTAAAGAAGTTTTTTGTTCCATAAAATGTATATACCACTTGATTGTAGAGAAACCATCAACCTCAAAGCAGTTAACGAAAAGAATAGAGCAATACAATTATCAGTAAAAAAGAGCTGAAAAAATCAAAACCAGCGATAAACTAAAAAATCACCAATATTCTAACTACCTGGATAGGCTTATCAAAAAACAAAAATGTTTTTAGCAGGCGCTGAAAAGCATATAGTGAAGGAACCTGCCTAACATCAATAGGCAAGGAGTTCCAAAGTAGTAGTAGTAGTAGTAGTAGTAGTAATAATAATAATAATTTATTTATCTATTTATTATACCCCGCCCATCTGGCTGGGTTTCTCCCGCCACTCTGTGGCCAACAGAATATTAAAAACATGATCAAACATCAAACATGAAAAGCTTCCCTAAACAGGGTTGCCTTCGGGATTGCTGCCACAATAAGAGATCAATTTCTTATAACCGCAGAAGGGGTATTATTCGCCAATGAATACAAGAATATTGGGCTTGGCCCAATAACCTATGGGCAGTCAGTGTAAGCTTTTAAGCACACCCACATTGTGTGCTTCCATCAGGGGTAGCCAACATGGGGTAGCCAACATGGTGCCTTCTGAATGTTGGACTATCATCTTTAAGCATCCGTCACTTCCCACTTTGTGGAGTCCAAACATACACCATCATGTGATAGACAATGATCCCATGACTGCAATCATAGACCAGGAATTCTAACAGGGACAGCCTAAGTCGCTTTGCCCTTTTAAAGAAAGGAAGAGCCCTGGAACTGAAGGAACTGGCTACCAATCAGCTAAGTTCAAGAAAGACCAGAACAACTTGGCAACAGGTTACTTGAAAGACCACCTGCCCCAGTATACACCTGAAAGACCACTTAGATCATCTGGAGAACTGGGGGAAGCCAGTGTGTTGTAATGGTTTAGTCAGAAATCATCCCCCCCCCCCGTTTCTTAACTTTATTTTTTAGTTTCTAAAAAGAAATATCTCCATATATCACCATCCCTCCCAAGAAACAATCCACACATATACAATGTAAACAAGCACAGTCAAATATTAAGTAAGTTTGGAAATAGTTTAGAACTGATTACATTAGTTAGCATCTTCTACTCTCCGCCTAAGGGAGACGGAGGGACGTGGGTGGCGCTGTGGGTTAAACCACAGAGCCTAGGGCTTGCCAATCAGAAGGTCGACAATTCGAATCCCCGGGATGGGGTGAGCTCCCGTTGTTCGGTCCCTGCTCCTGCCAACCTAGCAGTTTGAAAGCACGTCAAAGTGCAAGTAGATAAATAGGTACCACTCCGGCGGGAAGGTAAACGGTGTTTCCATGCACTGCTCTGGTTCACCAGAAACGGCTTAGTCATGCTGGCCACATGACCTGGAAGCTGTACGCCAGCTCCCTCGGCCAATAAAGCGAGATGAGCACCGCAACCCCAGAGTCCGCCACAACTGGACCTAATAGTCAGGGGTCCCTTTACCTTTACCTTTACTCTCCGCCTTAACAGATTGTCCCAGAATGTCTGATCTCCTGCAGATCCCCCCAGATCTACCAGTAGATCCCCACATACTTGCTGCCCATCCCTAGTCTACCAGGGATTTTTTTCAGAGCAAGTTCCTTGCTGCTCTGTGCTTTACTACATTGCCTTATTGTGCTGCATAACAAATGGGCGTTTTCTAGGTCAAGAGCTACTGGGTCCAGTTTTTCAAGCGCCTTGAACGAAAACGACGTTGCCTTTCCCCCAACGCCCTCCCGAACTCAGGATGGTAAACAGTAACCTATGCAGAATTGAATTACAACCCGACTCCCCCTGCCATCCATCTTTTCCTGTTTCTGTTTTGCTTGCCACAGCTGCAAAAGGTATTGAGTGCTGCAAGATATACTTAGTTTTTCCAAAGCCGTGCGCAACTTGTTATAGATGGCCCCGTGTCCAGGTAGAGGTTAAGGAGGTCCTTTGTTGTTCTAGTTTTCGCTTGTCCCTGACACTGCAGCCTAATCATTCCACATAATAACCACCCTGATACACAGGCCTGAGTCAAAGTCACAAGTCAATAAATCCATTCCCATCCTCCCTTTCAGGCAGAGTGTTGAATAGCACTGAGCGTGCAGAGTCATAGAGCCCTCCAGTCTATCACCTCAAGGTCATCCGGCTTATAGTGCACAAACTTTCTTTCCTTTAAGTGCCTTCTGCATTGAAGAGCAAGATATACAATACGGAGCCAGGGCTCAGCGTTAGAAAACCGATTTCCCCCTGTAGCGCTATTCAGCGGTGGTGGCTGGTGACCATTGGGACTGATTGGGCAGAAAGCAGGGAGCCCAACAGTAGGGGGCGCTAGAGCCAGCGATAGGCAGGGCCAACCAATGCTCGTTTTGTTCCCATGGGCTACTCCTGAGCTCTATGAGGGCAACAATGAGACATTGGCGGAGGAAGAGGAGTGCGGAAGGAGTGCACCACTCCCAGAAGCGCCATCCCGGTGCGGTGCCATCCGGCTGCCACCTGCCCACACTGGGCGCCACGCCCCCAGGATGCGCATCACGCCCCTGCTCTCCGCCCCCATTGCCGGAGCATGAAGCTCCACCACTGCAATGAGATGCATGTTTTTTTCATTTGTATGCTGCTTTTCCGCACAGAGAAGTCATGCTCAAAGTGGCTTGCAGCATAGAAACAGAGATGGAGGAGGAAGAAGCTGCCAGGCAATGCTGGGCTGGTTGTTAAGTATAAGGACTGCCAGGTGAGGTCTAGTGGATCCTGTGTCCGGGACAACCCAGACATATGGCAATCCCACTGGTGGAGATAGGTGCCATGGGCTGGGTAGATGCAGAGGAATGGTGGGAGGTATCAGCTGGGGAACCCCCCAAGGAAAGAAGGCTCAGAGCCAGAGGACTGGTGGTGGAATGACAATGAGTGATGAGAGAGAGAGGAAGGAGCAGACTGAGAGAGGAGGCGTCCTGAGCTGACTGGTTTCTTTGAATAAAGGGTTAATTTCACTGACCTCGTGTGAGTTATTGCTGACCAGCTCCTGGCCCCCGCTCCTGAAAATTGATGGAGCAGTGCCCCATTTGCTCTAGTGGACAAGCCTCCAATACTATTCATGTACTGCTGTCAAGTGTGAGATCTGGCAAGCATATGAAACTTGTGCTCAAAATTCTGCGATATCTCCCGATTTGTTACTGGGCCAAGTTCAACGTTTTTCTTTTATTGGGGCCAGTTTGAGACCAGTTTTCTTGAGGGAGCAGCCTGCCTTATATGTATCTGTTTGCCTGTGGAAACCGGTGCTTTTTCAAGTCTCTCCTTTCAGGCAAACCACTGCCATTCCTTGCAGACAATACTGAGCTCAATAGACAGGTTCCTGTATCCTGTTTTGATTCTATTCAGAGAGAGAGAGAGAAAGAGAGAGATCTTGTTATTTTTTGCTTTAATTCTGGCCAAACCAAGACAGAACACATGATCAACTTTTATTTTAACTTAGGCATGTTGCTCTGGGTATTGAAAGTGTGCTTTAAAAAAATTTGATCTGCTGATTTGCAACCTAAGATACCACCACCACCACCGGCTCCCCTTATCTTGGTTATTATGTTCATTTCTTCATTTCAGGTTATCGTTTTTATCTTCCTTATTTACTTAAGATTTACCTGTTCTTGTAAGTGGCAACATCCTGCAATCTCTTTGCTGTAAGATACTCCCCTACTGGCCATCAATCACTGGGTATTGTTATTGGTATGTCGAAACATCACTAAACTTTGTTAAATTATACCTTTATAATTTACATTGGTGTGATTGTGGTTCTGGGGATTGCCGAGCCATAGAAGAAAACACAATTAGAGGTTTATGTGCGGCGGGGAGGTGGGGGAATGTGAAACGAAGATCCTTGGTGCTTTTCCTACCAGAGTAGATTGAGGAGCATATTCCCACCTCCCACAAAAAAATGTGGCTCCCAGGACTCCCCTTTGCCTCTATGGAAGCAGAGAATTCAAGCATGGGAACCCCTGCAAAGCTCACAACACAAGAAGCATCTCCAAAGAGAGAGGTAGGGAGCCCCAGGCTCAGAAGCAAATGTGGCCTTCCAATTCTCCCTTATCAAGTCCTCAAGACCACATCCTTCTTCCCCTTCCCACCCTCTACTCACCCTACTTCACTCCCTCCTTAGGTATTTTTTGCCTGCCTGGAATTTGTCCTAGAACTCATCATGATGCCTCTAGCTTCTCTCCGTGGAATACCATAATCCCACACCTTGCGTGCATTGTTGTTGTTGTTGTTTAGTCATGTCCGACTTTTCATGACCCCATGGACTATAGCACGCCAGGCACTCCTGTCTTCCACTGCCTCCCACAGTTTGGTCAAACTCATGCTGGTAGCTTCGAGAACACTGTCCAACCATCTCGTCCTCTGTCATCCCCTTCTCCTTGTGCCCTCCATCTTTCCCAACATTTTCCAGGGAGTCTTTCCTTCTCATGAGGTGGCCAAAGTATTGGAGCCTCAGCTTCAGGATCTATCCTTCCAGTGAGCACTCAGTGCTGATTTCTTTAAGAATGGATAGATTTGATCTTCTTGCAGTCCATGGGACTCTCAAGAGTCTCCTCCAGCACCATAATTCAAAAGCATCAATTCTTCGGCAATCAGCCTTCTTTATGGTCCAGCTCTCACTTCCATACATCA